AAAAAAAAATTGTTTGATGGCTTTGTCAAAACATGGTATACACAGTTCCTGGAATAGAAAAGTAATATTGTTATCGTAGGCTATGTGTATCATAGTTGGTCACGCCTATAACTTGTGTACAGTATAATTGTGACTATCGAAAAAACACTCCATACATAAAAATTTATGCTCGCATCCTTTGCAATGCAATTTCACACAACTAGTCTGTTTGATAGCATAAACTCGGCTACTTATCTCGCCTTTCATTTTATAACAGCTTGTACATCTTCCCCTAGATTTGGTGTCAACTAAACTGTGACTTTTAGCGGCTTCAGATGGATGAAAACCCACTCCATGACTCCACTAATAAAGGTTGGCTATAACCATTGGAAAAACCGGTCAAGTCACGAATGTTTTTCAGACAGGATATTTGTACCACCAGTATACCAGGACCCTTTTTTCCTTCGATTTTCGGTGGTTGGTGTTCCCAAATTTCCCCAAAGTGCTTTAGGTGATTTGCCCTTTTACTGATTCTCTGAGGGTATTTTGAATGTCGACGTTCCAGTTGAGTATATTTGAAAATTCGACACTCAAGTAGGACACCGATGGTCTGAAATGAGCCATGGTTGTTCTGTTCTAGCATTGGGCGAGAACATTTGGGATTCCTGAATAGTATTAGCTGTGGTTTCGCTGGGTTGAGAGTTACTCTCCATTTATTGTACCACTTGACTATTGAATATATGCGTGTCCTTTTTTTCGAATACAGAGCGTTCTCCACAGTTGGCTCTTGGGAGTCCTGCGGATAATAAGGCCGTATCGTTAGCATAATAGCAGAATGCTTTTAGACGAGGTGTGATGGAGTGGGAGGTCACTCTTCTAGTTGGTATAGAGTATCGGCGTTATTATTGAGCCCTATGCTAGAGAAGGAATGAAGTAGATAGTTTGTCTGCGACTTTAACTCGGCTAGCCGGAACGAATAAGTAGGAGCGAATTGTTCTCAGGAAAGGTATGGGCACTAAGGCTGGGTGTAGATTTTTGATCAGACCAGCGTGTCAGACCTGATCGAATGATTTTGTACATCTAGAAAGATGACTATAGCTTGTCTGTTTGTGCTTATTAATTGCCTCAGATATGAAGATTTCTGCTTTTATCAATGTGTTTTGAGTGGAGTGGCCAGTTCTGAGTAAAAATTAAATTTTTGTGATCGTGTAGTGAGTATGTATTTAGTAGGATATTGGTCTGTAGGATTCAGCACTGGTGAGGGATTTTCTTGGTTTAGGCATCATGATTGTTCTGGATACTTTTTAAGGAGAAAACATTCAAGCTGGAGGCATGCATTGATAGTTTCGGATAGCAAAGAGAAAATGGATTCTGGAAGTTCTTTGAGGCATCTCCTGTGTATGCCGTTTGGGCCAGGGGCTGGGTTTTTCCCGAGGCAACACAGTCTCCCGACGGATGAGTAATTGAAAATTGTCATCTCATTGTAAATAAAATAGTTATAACAAACTGCCGAACAAGATTTGGCAACAATCTTCTGAATTTGGTAAAGACGCGCATCTCCTACATGTATTTCCTTTTTAATCATCTGCCCACTTTGCAGCTCTTCGATATCTCGAGCGGCATTTTAATGCTGAAAAATTAACTACGGTAATACATTGCATATGACCATTACTAGTAAAGTATTTAAATGTGATATTATACCACTAATATTTAGTTTTCTTTTTAGATATATACATCTAGTGTATCACCTGCGAACCATGTTTTACGGACGATAGGAGGGTCTAGAGTAGTTACAAGTAAGTATTTCAAAATCTTTTAGACTATAGTAATTAAAATGAAATTTTGTGTAGACTTTATATGTTAGTATAAAATCTTGTTGTTTTCTTTTTGAATAGTTTTTTTAGCCACAACATTTATTGTATGGAGATTGTTCGAAAACTATGTGGTCTTGATCTCTAGGTTATTTAACCTCTTTCATTAGTTCAGTGCTTAGCAGGAAATTTGTTCCTATTTTTATATTACTTGACAAGGTAACGCCATGCTATAGGCACTAATGTTTACAAATGGAAAAAGGATGAAGGATGAAAAGTTACTAACAGACTAAATGGTAGATTTCATTTTTCTTATATTGGATGCTAAAGTTGTAGGTATCTTAATGGAAGTTTTTCTATTGGAATTACAGTCCTGTGTGGAAAAAACTTGTACACTGAACCGACCAGTGCAATAAATTGTTGTATTAGGTACTCTTAATTCTTTCCACACAGCTAAATTTTAGTATCTTATTTGCACACCTGGAGGTAAAAATTACATGTCTATGGGAAGTATTGTTAACAGGAGGGGGAGAAATACATCCCTTTAAAATTTATGTTGATTTTAAACAAACAAACAAAACATCTATGGTTAGTACAAAGAATCGATGCAAAAGATATTGATGTTATATTCAAGAGGTTATAAGATCCTGTTTTAACACAAAAGTAGATAGAAATGTATTAAAAAGTAGAAAAAAAAAAGGACAAGAAGTCCGATATTAATACATGGAGAAATTTCGCAAACAAATAAAATTATGCAAGAGTAGATCAAACAAAAAATATCAGTTGTTCTGAGGGGTAAGCTGCTTCGTTCTGCACTATTGCATTGGTCAAATCACTCTCCTTATCTTCTCCAGATTCTTTCACCATCGTCTGGTGACCTTAAACAAGACTTGGGTTCATCCGAGAATAACGAGTTAATCAAATCTGTATCAATCCAGTGTTTGTATTCTCTTGCAAAAGCATTTTAAACTCTGCGTTATTCTACGATAGCAACAGACAGGGTTGGTCTTCAGGATGATAAATTAATTTCAGCTCAGCTAGAAGTTGATGTATATTTATCAGACAAGAAGAGACCAAAAATCGATTATCTCATACAGATGTTACTCTTCTATGGCCTCTTCCTGGTCTCTTAACCAGTATAGTTAGCGGTTTCACTAAACCGGGTCTTTGCACAACGACCAATATAATTTCTGATGTTCAATAGTACCCAGTTATGAATTTTTATACATAAATGTTCACAAACATAAAAGTTATAGAGAAAATTAAAATTTTAAAGTGTTGAATCTATGTACGGTTTCTTTTTGTACAATAGAGTGTATCATAATAAATACTCAAATAATGAATTTTCGAAATTCAAACTTTCAAGTTGATAAAAAGTTGCCTCTTACATTACTCTTTCAGGGAAAAAAGTTTTGTTTTAATTAAAACATATTTAGGTCTCCCGGAATCGACTTAAACTTTAGAATTTTTTCTCAAAAACACGATTTTTCATCTTTTTTTTTATTGAAAATTAAATTTTATATTTTTATTGTCAACTTAAAAAATATTAAGTACGTGATAACAGTAAACAATAAAAATTAGGATAATATCTGTAACTAAGCATAAAGTCACCAGGAATCTTTATGAAAATCTCAATTGTAACAACGAAAAATCTTGTCAATTCTTCTCTTTATTATGATTAGGTGTTAAACCTGTTTGTTGCTTAAATAATTAATAATTAAAATATAAAAATATTAAAATAAATAATTAAAATAAATTACATATTTACTTATTTAAACTTTAGGATATTTTATGTTAAAACAATAAAAGACTGTTTTTGAGGTACGAAATTTATTAAAGAAATATAAAAGTTTACTTAAAGATTACAGATAAAAAGTTGACAAAGAAAAATCTTTAAAATAGTTCTTTATTTCATCTTGAAGGATGTTGGCTAAACAAATACGATAAAGAAAAAATGTTGTGACGCGTGGATAATTTTAGGACGACATTTTATGGTAAACCATGAGGTAGCATAGACTTTCATGATGAACTCAGCAAGCTTTCTAAGTTGTGAGGTTGGTTCAATAGTTGAAATATACAGACGTAAGATTCTATTTGCTAATGTCAGCCACCGGGCGTGGGACAAGTTTCTGGAGTTTCTACTGGCTAACTCAGAGAGGCATTCACCTTTGACTACATCCTGACATATATCCCAAAGGTATTTCTGGTCCGCACTAAAGTCTTTACTATCGACTTCTGGGAAGGTGCTATCTATTTTGTCATAATTAACAACCGGGAAGTCTAAGCAGTTTGTCAAACCTTTGCCTATTGGCCCACTGAATGATGTTGGTCCTGTGGTTGGACCGTCAAGAGCAACAAAAACTTTCCTCAGAGCCAATTCGTTTAAGCGCAACATACATATTACTACTTGGACCGGATGTTTCAATGCGCGTTCAAACAACAAAACTGCTCCTTGCGATGTTCCAATATTCGTTGCCGTACCATCATATCCAAGCGCTTTGATATTTGAGTTATCAATGGAGTTATCACTCACTTAATATTGATGATACTATATATTTCCCAGATCCACTGTTTGGAGTTACATGACCGAAATATGCTGAACCTGGTTCCTCGACCAAAGATATGTGTTCTTCTTGTATGGTTTTACGGACAGATTTCCCACGTACAATTTCTTTGATTATGGTTTCATCCTTCCTACAATTGAAGTAAAGAGCAATTATTTCGTTTGTGCGAGTTGAATTAATACTTCGGCGGTACTTTAACCTTTCACGAAATATCTTGGACTTGTCAATAACTGCGGCTTGGTTTTGCACTTGCTAGTTGAGCACCTGCTCTGTTTGAAATGCTTCTGCGATCACATGCCCTAGAAAACAATGACAGATTCACTGGCAGGCCTTGTTTTACTTTCACGCTTGGACTTTCAATTTTGTTTCTTAGAGGAGTTATTTTAGAACCTTGAACTTTTTCATCAGGCCTACTTGATTCTTCTTCCATGGATTCATCATCAGAGTCACTACTAAGAATATTCACATTTATTAAATCAGGTGGAGTAGTTAGTTCCACATTCCTACTTAATTTAGATTGCAGGGACTTTTCCTTCCATTTGTTTCATTTTTCAATTTTTTTAGTCTCTGCTTGGTCAATACCTCCGATAATCATCGTCCTAAAGTTCCGTTGGTCTGTCAAGAATGCATGTTCTAATTTTGGTACTTCTCTTGGAGCTGGGCACAAACATTTGTCTAGTTCACTACATTTGCATGAACAAATATCAAAAAGACTATTATCAATGTCAGATCTAAACTTTTCAACTGCAACTTTAAAACTCTTGGCATTTTTTGTATTACAACCTGAAGATTTTTTAATCTTTTCACACCTCTCATGCAATTGTAGAATCATAAAAACAATATTGTTAGTAGATGAAACAGGTATTAATGATGTTTTCCAAATTTGCTCTAACTTATGTGTCACTCGTATTGCAATGAACTTTTTCTGTGGTTGGTAGCATCCTTCAGATTTCAACTGATTTCTCACCCATTCAAAATGCCTTAGCACGTCACTTTTAGTAGGTAAAATATGAATATCACTAATGTCAATAGGCTGTCCGACTATAGGAGCTTCAGTGCATTTCCTCGTTGTTATAGTGTTTGGCTTTTTACTCATGATAGAAAAACAACAAAACCACGCGGAATTCACAAGTCATAAAGCACACACACTAAACAAAACACACTGAAATACATGTAATAACGCGCAAACCACGTGTTGTCAGATTGAACGGTGGAGTCTGGAGTCAGACTCCAGGTGAAAATTTTTGTCCTCCCTAAATTGAACATTTAAATATCCCTAGAAATCCCTAGATTGGAATAAATGTATATATGGTTGCCTATTTCTGAATAAAATTATGGGATGTATTGATAGTTGCCTAATATAATAACATTGATATAAAAAAATTGTTGTTTTATACCTTTATTTCATAAACAGTACAATAGCCATCATTTGAATAAATTTAACAAAAACGGAATAACGTACGTATTCTTTACATATTTACTTAATAAAATTAATACAAAATACAACTTGAAGAGAAATGAAACGGTGAAGCATAGAATTTTATTTATTGATTTTCACGAATCCTGTAAATCACCCGATTCCTACTGTAAATCCCCTAATTATTTATTTTATAAAAGCTAGGACTTTTGTAAATCCCCTAATTCCAGCTCCAGAATTTGCTTCTTTCTGAAAATAATAGGAATCTACTTTTGACAGAAATCTATTTGGTAGTATAAAATAAAGATTCCAAGAACGTGGACAGTTAGCGACATCTGATAATAGAATCTTTAAGTAGTTTACTGTTAGTTTAATTAGTTGTAATGAAAGATCGTGTATTTAATACTGTTAATACGAAGTGGTTTTATACCTGAATTAAAGAAAATGTTATTATAATAGGCCTACGTGGGTAAATATTTGAGCCGGTCAAAAATCCCTAGATTTTACACTAAATATCAAAAAAATCCCTTTGTCCCTTTTATACTGAAATATCCCTAGATTCGGGATAAATCCCTAGACCTGGCAGCCTTGCTAACAGAAACAAAGGGTGTGAGGTGAGTGAGTGTTGGAGGTAAGCCAGACACCAGACATCCGGTGACTCACAAGTCAGTGCCAGCTGCCCGTCTCCAAGATCAACTTCTGCTTAGCTGACAGTCTTAAGTTTTGACCCATTGCATTAAAATACAGCACTGTAATGATTGTATTAGAGTTTTTGTACTGTTTCTGATTAATGTCAAACTTGAATTAAATATGAAGATTGTGATATATTTTGGGTAATTCCGGGTTACCTAAATAATTTAACTCAGAACCAAAATGTTTACTATGGATAAATTAAATGTAAAAATACACATTTTTTAACTTGATTACATCATTTGTAGTTTATAAACTGTGTAAATTATTTTTTCAAAAACGTATTTTTTTTACAAAAAATTATAAACTTTTTGTACATTCCGGGAGGCTTAAATATTGTTGGAATTGAAAAAGATTTTTTTGGTAGATCTATGATAACAACTTTTTATCAACTTGAAAAATTAAATAATAAAAAAAAAAATTTTGTGATACACCCTATTGTACTATTGCTGTGATTGTGACCACCCTGTATATTATATCGAATTTTTTGCACCGAAGTATTATTAAATTTATTGTAGGAAACAGTATTTATTATAATCTTGGCCGAATGGATCAAGGAATCCAAAGTCAATACAAAATGAAAAAAAAAATTAAATTTGCCTATTGCGAAAATCTATAGTAGATATATTTATTGACTATTTGTATTAAGTGTGCAATGATTTACAGAAACCGTCCCTCTTCAAGTAAACAAATTGCCAAGTGGATTAAAGACCATAAAGCTCGCAACCTCCCAGATGGTAATATTTAAACTTACTCCTAATAACTTTAAACGATTGACATTTTAATCTAAATTTACAGCCAGGCATCAAAATTGGCCCTGCAGCAAATTCAATAAAAGTTCAACTATCACCACAGCTCAATTCTACTTCGACCACGGTACCTGTATATACATCTCAGCCATCAACAATGCCCAAAAATAGTACTCCTCCAATTTTATCAAGAAAACGACAGGATCATGTTGAATTGGACTATGCACCTGAATCGTAAGTAAATGGAATATAGGTTTTTCTATATGGATCCTGAGATAAATTACGATAAATTAATTGACGTTTTAACTGAATTTGTCAGGTGTTTGGTAACTGCCGATTTACTTTCTATTTTATCCTATGTAGACTTAATAATAATAATAATGTATTAATTTCTAATAACATAAAACTACTCAAAGTAGCCAAAAAATCCTACTTTCATAATCGCTTAACAAGTTCCAAAAATATTTCAAAAGAAACTGGGTCAATAATAAACGATTTTCGAAATAAAACCAGTACAGCGAATCAAACCTTTTCTTTTCCTAACCCCGAAAATCTAAATGATTACTTTGTTAATGTGAGTAAAAATATAACCTCAACTATTTCGCCACAACAAGATCCAGTTTCCTATCTCTCTAATTCAAAAACATTGCTGATACCTTCTTTTTAAGACCAGTTGATAAGACGGAACTCATTTCAACAATTCGTAGTATAAAAAGCACATCGTCCTGTAGTACAGATGGATTATCTATTAAAATTTTCTCAAATCTACCGCATAATGTTTTGGAGGTCATGGTCTCGCTAGTAAATGATTCCCTTGAAAAAGGTACATTCCCTAACTGCCTAAAGACTGCCATCGTCATTCCTCTTCATAAAGGTGGAGAAAAATCTGATGCCTGCAACTATAGACCTATTGCCTTGTTACCAGCACTATCAAAAATTATTGAAAGACTTATAAAAGTTCGACTTATGCCCTTTCTCCTTAAATATAATATTTTATCGCAAAATCAGTTCGGCTTTTTGTCTAATAAATGCACTAGTGATGCCATATTTTCTGTGTTACATGATGTATATCTATCACTAAACAGTAACCTCTACTCCGCCACCGTTTTCTGCGACTATTCCAAAGCCTTTGACTGCGTAAATCACGACATTCTATTAAAAAAATTAACTTTCTATGGAATTCGGGGTGTGTCTTTGAACTGGTTCAAAACTTACAAACTTACTTGGTAGGTAGGAAACAATTGGTTAGAATAAATGACACCGACTCTAGTTGTAAAGATATTGAGTGTGGAGTACCGCAAGGTTCAGTATTAGGTCCCATTCTTTTTTTACTTTTCAATAATGACATCACTTACTTGAAAATTAAAGGGAAATTTTTTCTATTTGCTGATGATACCAGTATTACTTAGAGCAGCTCTGATATTTCAACGCTTCATTCAATTATAACCGCTGATTTACTTATAATCAAAGCTTGGACAGACTCCAACTTACTTAGCTTTAACGTGGATAAGACTGTAGCATTATCTTATAAAGGAGTCATGCAACCCTTGCTTTTAAATGAGAGCCAAATCAATATCGTAAATTCCGTGAAATTTCTAGGTATTCTCATTGACAGTGATCTCAAATGGTCCTTGCATACTGACTCCTTAAGGAAGAAACTAGCCTCAGCTTACTTTGCAATAAGATCTGTTTCGAAGGAACTAAACTTATCTTCTGCCAAAATGGCATATTTCTCATTGTTCGAGTCCCATCTCCGATATGGGCTTCCATTTTGGGTTTCTAGTACAGCGGCCCAATTTGATACTATTTTTAAGTTGCAAAAAAGAGCAATCCGTTATCTATTTGGTCTCAAACAAACAACTCATTGCAAGACCTACTTCAAAAATCACGGAATTTTGACGCTTCCCTCTTTATTTATTTTGGAAACGGTTTGTTTGATTCGAAAGCATCTAAACATTTTTCCCGATAGACCTGACCATGGCTACTCCATTAGAAATTCGGATTGTAACGTTTATTTGCCGATCCCGTCCACTCAGCTAAGTAAAGTCCACTCAGTAAAGAATTCTATTCTATATCGTGCAAAGAAACTTTATAATCACCTTCCAAGAGAAATTAAATCCGCAACATCCTTCATTAAGTTTCGTAAGGTGACAAAAATCTATCTCTCAGAAAGACCATATGATTCAGTTGACGAGTTTCTTAATGTATAACAAAGAAACAAAATTAGTATTGTTTATAATTACATTTGGGTGTCTCAAGCAGTGGCTACAATTTGTCTCATTTGTTGTTGTCTGTACAAATTATGTAGGTTATACAATAATTTTACTAATTTAAAATTGTGTTATTCTGTTTTTTACTATATTTGTTTTTGTTTTATACTTTTTGTACTATTTCACTGATTTATTTTTTAGCTTTGTCCATAAAATTGTTCAATAATTTTCAGTGACAATAAAGCATATTTCTATTCTATTCTAAAACAAATGAGTTATCCCGATGTTGCAAATAGTATATTGTTTCTTTTATTACTAAACTGGGCGACTTTAACGATACCATTCATTATCACATGGCACTACACTTCATGAATCTTGTTCTGCATCAATCCTTTCATCCTATTTTGTGTGATTGTCTTCTCCATCCACCTCGTGCAGATATCTCAGGGTTGTTCCCTTCTGCTCACAGTTAGATCCTATTCGTTAACTGCTCTATTTAGGAGTATCAATATGTTTCTTATAAAGATTCGCAGCAACTCTTCGTCCATTGCTGTCGTTGCGTCGTCATTGCCATGTTTCCGATCCGTAAGTGAGTTATGTATTTATTTTTCTTGAAAGCTTCAACTGCTTCATATCCGGTTCTTCCCATTATACAATATTATTAGCATAGGCCAGTATTTGTAGTCTTCAGGTGTATATCGGTTCATTTAATTTAATCGAAAGTCTCATAACTTTTTCCAACTCCAGGTTGGTCATCGTGCACGATGGCTCATCTTCCTGGTGCAGTCCACTGTTAGTTTTAAAAGGTTCTGAGAGATTCCCTTGTACTCTCACGTTATATTCAACTGTCCTCATTGTTAATCTATTTAATTCTACCAACGCTTTTGGTATTCCAACATCGATCATAGCCTAATATAATTGGAGCCTATCAATTGCATCATAGGCTGTCTTAAAGTTCACACAAATATAGTGGCAATATGTATGTCAAATTCCTTCATTTTTTCTAGTATTTGCCCAATGAATGATATAT